CCCCCGAATGGGGCAGTCACGCTGCAACCCCTTTCCGTTGCTCCATCCGCCAGGATCTGGGCACACTTGCACCCACACCCTGTGGTTTTCAAGTAGCCAGATCTGGAATTCAATCCACGGCTGCCATAGGAGATCCATTTCCCTTAACCACTGGGCTGTTGGGCCAGTCCACTAGGTAAACTTCAGAGAAAGAACAATTAGTCACTTCTGTAAGGCTAAGCAGAGTAAACTGCACTCTTTTTGGTGTAAATTTTTGGGTTCAGACATACGTGCTGCATTGTATAACTGCACCCACAATCCCACAATCAAGACTCAGAACCCCGCTCTCACCCCCAAACTCCTCCCTGTCTCCCAGTAAGGAGCCCAGTCCCCTCTCCTCTCAGCCGCTGGTCTGCTTTTGGTCCCATGACTTGTTTTTTTGCAGAAAACAGCTATCATCTTAATCTCAGCTACTCACGAATGCAAAGGATGACTGCCTTCCCTGTAGCGCCCCCATCTCCAAGGGAGCAGCAAGCACCCCATAGATCCCCCTCAGGACTTCGTGTGGAGGCTCTGGAGGCCCTCTGAGTGCCCCGAGCATGGAGCAGTGGCCACCACGGACTCCCACGTCCCTCGGCCTGAGCCTCCTCCCCAGGAGATCCACGGGTCATTCTGTGATCGGGGTCTACTCTTCACCTGCCCTTAACCCCAAGCTTCCAGCTTTTTGACAAATGTAGCTTTGTTTTCCTATTAGCCAGATAAGAAAATTAACAGATGCTCAAAATGTGATGAAGAATCCTATGCCTAGGAAGTCATTCCGAGACCCTGGATGGCTTGGAAGACTGGGCAGGGATAGGCGAGAGGGAGGATGGGGCGGAGTTCAGGATACACCCCAGAATATGACACCTTGGCAGGTCTCTCTGCCCTTCTCCCCTGAAGCAAGTCATGATGCCCTTGCTTTGGTGAGCCCACCCTATGCCTTACCTCTGAAGACACAGGATGGAGGGTGGGGGGGGACCTGGACAAACAGGTCCCTCAGTTTGTCACCACCGGGCAGGTCCCCTCTGCCCAGTGTACATCCCACCATTGTTCACTTTTCCTCCCACTTAGCACAAAACACGCAGGCTTCCCCGTTCCTTTGAGTCTTCATTTCTAAAGATCCTGTGTCACGTGAACTTATATTACATAAATGTATAAACTTTTCTTTTGTTAATCTGTCTTTTACTATAGGTGCCTTAGCCGTGAATACTTCCATGGAGGAGGGAAAGGAAGTATTTTTTTCTCCCCTACAGGAGAAAGAGCACTCCTGAGAGGCCCTGGCTTTGCTGAGTCAGTCCTGACCCTCAGCAGGGCCCTCCCATGCCTCGCCGGCTCACTGGGGAGCTCACTGTGGGCAGGCAGCACCACCGTCAAAGATCAGCCCTGGGCCCACAGTCTCCTCCACAGGAGGGCTTGCCTCCACAGCGGAATACCCTCTGAAGTCGTCCACCTGCAGCAGAGGACAAGTTTCCCACCTAAGGAGAGCCTTTCAGTATTACGAGGAGCATGGCCTGTGAGCGGCCTGCACAGGGTCAGAGCAGAGACCCACGCCTAGGCTGTTCCATCACACGCTGCGTGGCAGGCGCTGCCGTGGCCCCAGTTATCTGCGTCCGTGCGGCAAGGAGTTCTGAGAGCCGAAGACAGAGGCCACCTGCGTGCATTATTACAGTATGTTTTTGTGCCTATTCTAATTTATTTTTAGCTGTTTTGTTCACTTCTTACTGCACCTGATTTATAATATCTTTTCTTTGTCGGTAGACTTTTCTGCCTTAGGGCACATGTGCTCACCAGAGGAGAGAGTCAGAGAGACAATGAGAGGGAAAGTGAGAAATCATCTCCCACACTGCAGTCCCTCCTCCTCCATTCTCCTCCTGGGATCTTAGCGACACATACACACACACACATACACTATACACACACACACACTGTGTGGTTTTTAAGCCACCAGGTCTGGGACTTGAACTGTGATCGGCCAGGTACCATCTGCTGGTGCCTAAGGTATAAATTTAAACTTTCCTGTATATATGTCCATATAGAAAAAGAATAGTACAGACAGAGCTCAGTACCAGCCGCTGTTTCCAGCGTCCACGCCCCCCCGTGGGTGAGGGGAGGCTACAGTTCAGGCTTCCGGTAGAAGAGAACGACATGCAGTCGGCTCACACGTCCACAGACCTGACTTCGGACCGAGCTTTTCTTTTCTAATTGCCAGAGGACATGTGCACTTTCCAGAGACAGACCGGAAGCGAGGAGGACAGAGGAGCAACGCACCCCCGAATGGGGCAGTCACGCTGCAACCCCTTTCCGTTGCTCCATCCGCCAGGATCTGGGCACACTTGCACCCACACCCTGTGGTTTTCAAGTAGCCAGATCTGGAATTCAATCCACGGCTGCCATAGGAGATCCATTTCCCTTAACCACTGGGCTGTTGGGCCAGTCCACTAGGTAAACTTCAGAGAAAGAACAATTAGTCACTTCTGTAAGGCTAAGCAGAGTAAACTGCACTCTTTTTGGTGTAAATTTTTGGGTTCAGACATACGTGCTGCATTGTATAACTGCACCCACAATCCCACAATCAAGACTCAGAACCCCGCTCTCACCCCCAAACTCCTCCCTGTCTCCCAGTAAGGAGCCCAGTCCCCTCTCCTCTCAGCCGCTGGTCTGCTTTTGGTCCCATGACTTGTTTTTTTGCAGAAAACAGCTATCATCTTAATCTCAGCTACTCACGAATGCAAAGGATGACTGCCTTCCCTGTAGCGCCCCCATCTCCAAGGGAGCAGCAAGCACCCCATAGATCCCCCTCAGGACTTCGTGTGGAGGCTCTGGAGGCCCTCTGAGTGCCCCGAGCATGGAGCAGTGGCCACCACGGACTCCCACGTCCCTCGGCCTGAGCCTCCTCCCCAGGAGATCCACGGGTCATTCTGTGATCGGGGTCTACTCTTCACCTGCCCTTAACCCCAAGCTTCCAGCTTTTTGACAAATGTAGCTTTGTTTTCCTATTAGCCAGATAAGAAAATTAACAGATGCTCAAAATGTGATGAAGAATCCTATGCCTAGGAAGTCATTCCGAGACCCTGGATGGCTTGGAAGACTGGGCAGGGATAGGCGAGAGGGAGGATGGGGCGGAGTTCAGGATACACCCCAGAATATGACACCTTGGCAGGTCTCTCTGCCCTTCTCCCCTGAAGCAAGTCATGATGCCCTTGCTTTGGTGAGCCCACCCTATGCCTTACCTCTGAAGACACAGGATGGAGGGTGGGGGGGGACCTGGACAAACAGGTCCCTCAGTTTGTCACCACCGGGCAGGTCCCCTCTGCCCAGTGTACATCCCACCATTGTTCACTTTTCCTCCCACTTAGCACAAAACACGCAGGCTTCCCCGTTCCTTTGAGTCTTCATTTCTAAAGATCCTGTGTCACGTGAACTTATATTACATAAATGTATAAACTTTTCTTTTGTTAATCTGTCTTTTACTATAGGTGCCTTAGCCGTGAATACTTCCATGGAGGAGGGAAAGGAAGTATTTTTTTCTCCCCTACAGGAGAAAGAGCACTCCTGAGAGACCCTGGCTTTGCTGAGTCAGTCCTGACCCTCAGCAGGGCCCTCCCATGCCTCGCCGGCTCACTGGGGAGCTCACTGTGGGCAGGCAGCACCACCGTCAAAGATCAGCCCTGGGCCCACAGTCTCCTCCACAGGAGGGCTTGCCTCCACAGCGGAATACCCTCTGAAGTCGTCCACCTGCAGCAGAGGACAAGTTTCCAACACCTCTTAGGGGCCAGGAGCCAAGGTGGGAAGGACTCTGTCTACAGCGACTGGTTAACAATCAGATCAGTAACTCAATGGACAGCCAGCGTGTGAGGCCAGCAGGGAGTCCAGAGTGGCAATGGCCACTTTCTCATAAGATCACTCAGTTCAAATGCATGATCAAAGATCGATTCTTCAAGCTGTCCAGAGGGCAGGGATTCAGCATAGGTTGTCTGCCCTGTAAAGCCACAGCCCTGCAGACAGGACATGGGGTGCTGGGAGGGAGGCAGAGCTCCCAACCTACCTGCAAGTCCCAGCAAAGGTCCAGGGAGGGGGCACGGCCAAAGGCCAATACCAGCCATGAGACTTCAAGGCCAAGTGGCCTGTTCTTCCAGTCTCCCTCGCTTTTATTTCCCCTTTGTACTCAGGGCAGCTGGGAACCTGGCCAGAAAGAGTTCTGAAGCCTTGGGTCATGGCATGGAGACCAGGAGACTCCCTACAGCCCTTTCATTAACAGCACTCTTGTTAGGATGGGAAAGAGAAGGGGGAGGAGAGAGGGAGGGAAGGCAGAGAAGAGGGAAGGGGTGAGGAGACAGGGACAAGATGACAGAGGAGAGAGGAGAGGGTGAGGGAGAGGGGAGAGAAGGGGAGGAAGAGGACAGAGAGGGGAGACCATCTGTGTTCCACTAGGTCAACCCCCAAGTAAAGCGTTAAATAAAGCCACATTTAAATTGTGAACATATATCCCAGGTAAATACTAGTTTTTGTTTAGTTTGTTTTGTGAAAAAAGAGAGAGAGAGAGAGAGAGAGAGCACTTGTTATGATCTGGTTTGGGGATCAGTACACATTTGAAGATACTGATAAGTAGTGATATACTGTAATACAGAGATTTTCAATATATACTTGGCTATCACATATGACATATACAATATATAACACAGTATGTTATATAATAGCATATGTAGTGTGTGCTATATATAGTAATTCTATATTAGACTATGCATTCATACTTCAGCCATTAAATTAGAATAAAAACAGAACTAAAAATGCCAAAGGTTCTTTCTTCTCTTCCATTATTTCAAACTTTATCTACAAAAATCCTATATCATTTTTAATCATATTCAAGAGTTTTTAAAACGTTTGTGTGGTATGGTGGATGCCCTCCCAGCACTGACTATTCCCCTTGGGAGCAAGGTCCCACAGCTCCCGCAGTGCCCCATAGAAGCCATCAAAGGACAGACCTGTCTGTGTTCTCCAGCACTGTGAGGAGAGGGGGGTGGGTGAACCTTCGGCTCTTCGAATGGCTGCAGAGAGGTCCTCCTCTCATCTTTGGAGTGGGAACTGGGCAGAACGTCCTGAGCGACGGTGCAGACAGCCCCCTCTAAGCCAGTCAGCTGCCTCTCCTCTGCAGCCAGGTTGCCCCTGTCTTCCTGGAGCTGCAGGCTCTGGACAAACAACCGGCAAGCTTCCAGGTCCGCTTCCCACACTTTTCTAAGCAGTGGACACTTGACGCTGAGACAGAGAGAACAGAGGCATAAGCATTAACTCAGCGGGCATTCCATCAGCACATCGATAGCTCATCTATGCTAAAAGGCAGCCAGACATTTCACACCTAATGACTTAATTGCACACAGTGGTGGATTATTTCAACCAGAAGTTTCCGCAGGCCAAATCTGTACACCATCGAGTCATCCTGAAATGTGTTAGTCTTTCTTGGCTACTTGGTCTGCAAGGTCATCCAAAATCCATGTGCTTTTCCACTGTGTGGCCCAGTGCCATACAGTTCCTGCTCTGTGCTGCAGCCCCCTGGCTTCTTTGTGTCCATGAATCTGCCCAACTCTCCTTGGCTTTTGCATGGGCCATTTTATCTGTTAAGCCTTCCCTTTCCCACAATCCTTCAACAACACACATACGTTCTGGCCTTCATCTGGCTGAATTGTATTATCAGATCTTAAAATAAATGACTTTTCTTTGGGGCAATCTTTCCTAATTTCCAACCAGAACTTGCTTTCTATACTTTTCCTTTGGAGTACTTCTCACAGCTCTAATTATGTATGTGATTATTATTTACTTTTCCCCCCTCTGATGACAGAAAAACACTATTGCTAGAACCTATTAACATGGATCATGAACTCAAATTCCCAGTGTGCCGAGCAGGTGGGGCAGAGCAGGGAATACATAGCCCATAGTGGCTGATATTCAGTATTAGAGGCAGGCAGAAGACAATGGGAGGGAGGGATTCTCACCAGTAGGGAGGACATAGTCCTCTATAGGGAGCCCTTCATCACCTGGACCAACTAAAGCTTGGAATGTATACTTGATGTTTACAGAAACCTTGACTTTTCATAGAAAGCCTAGAATCTTGGAATTTAAATTAAAAATATGTATTTTTCATCCATTCATTCAGCTTCATGCTAGACATTTTCTACAGACATATCTCCCATTTGATAATCCTTCCTTCCACTATATCTAATCTGATATTGAGTCCATCTACTGTGTTCTGAATTTTAGTTATTTTTTTAATCTGATATTCTATATTATTACTATTTATATATTCCAGTTCTCTGCTAAAATTTTCCAGCATGTCCTCTATTTTTGTGAACATATTAATCATCATCATCTGTTTTTGGGTTTTTTTTTGGGGGGGGTGGGGAAGGTTTTTACTATAGAGCGTGTGTGCTCGCCAGACAGATAGAGAGACAGAAAGCGAGAACTCACCCCCTAGGGGGGACGGCCACGCCACAATCCCTTCTCCTCCATTCTCCTCTCGGGATCTTGGGCGCACACGCACACGCGCCCAGCCTGAGTTTAAGCCACCGGGTCCAGGACGTGAACGGCAGTCAACTACGTGGGAGTCCAGCGACATAGCAATTACGCTAACTGCTGGTCCCAAATCATCATCATCTTAAAGCCCATGTCCATAAACAAATTAGGAAAAAAAAAAAAAAGAGGCATAAGCAGAATTAGAAGAGCTATTGTGATAGGCAGTTAGTCATGAGTGGGCAGCCCTAAGAGAAAAGCGAAAGGCTCATCTAGCTCCAGGCACCAGGAGGGCGAGGCAATTTGCCATCTTCCTTCCTTGAGGCCTGAGGAAAGCATACAGGGATGATTCGTAGATTTTTCTCTTATCAAAAAGACCTAAGCAAGCGTTTTTGATCAATGCCCCAATTCCTATTAGGGCAATGGACTAACTGGGCAGTCTAATTGGGGCAACCTGGCTCGCATTGGGCATGCGCGATTAGGTGATCAAGTTCCTCATTCTTTACCTGAGGAAGGTGCGCAGGTGCAGGAAAAGAACGTGTGGATTCAAATTTAAAGGAAGAACATGGGCAGCATAAGGGGCCTCCCACTAATGAATATTCATGACCTCTAGTAATAAAAATAACAGTTAACTAGTACCAAACGCAGTTGCCACCTGGCAATCTGCCCGCCCAAGAACCTTTTTGGGTGTACTTCCTTTCTTTTCTTTCCTTTCTTTCCGATTAAGTCTTCTTTTCTACCTACTTCATTCGTGGTTGCAGTTTGTTTTGCGCCTAGGGACAGATCTCTAATTTTAGTGATCTGGATCCGAAGAACCAAGGACTTCACAACGCAGCTCGACACTTTCCCATCCATTGACACTATCAGCTAAGAATTTTCAAGTATTGACAAGTGACATCAAACAACACACCTGACAAGCAGTACAACTCAAAGTGGGGAAAGATTGAAGAAAAAATATCCTGGGCTCATCAAATAAAACTGCTGCACTCCTAAGATGGAACAATACTGTTAAATGCAGAACACAGCCAGAGAAAAAAGGACACATTAACTTCAAAGGAACAAAAATATGGATGACAGAAATGTTGGGAGGCAGTAAAACATGCTTAAAGGTGTTTATAAGATCTTTAAAATGTTGAAAGAAATTAACTGCCAATCTATGGTTATACAATCATTTTTAACTTTCTTCAAAAGTAAAAGTAATGCCATTTTCAGATTTAAAGAAAAAAAAAAAACAGAACTCCTTGGTAGCACATCCATAGTAAGGAAATGAGCTTAAAGCAGAGACCTGCGTGAAAGAGTGCAGAACGGTGACAGAGGGAGTGCGTGGGCCAAGTCTGAGTGAGGACTGATGCACAGAGCAAGACTGAGTTCTCTTATGGTCTTAAATATATGACAATTAGCACTTAGTTGTAGCAGAAAGAGAGGAACTAAAATATTCTTGGGTTGTATATGATTCAGAAAGTAGTAAAAGTGTTCATTTATGTTATATTAAGAATTCAAGGATTCATACTGAACTCGTAGTGGTGATTATAAAACACAGAAGATGAAATGAATTACTGATGGGATTAAGCGCAATGATTAAACACTGTGCTCTTGGAGGTGGATCCCACATGGATGACCAAGGTTTGAATCCTGGCTCCCGTGGATTGAAAGACACACTCAGGCACCTGTGTATGCCCCAAATCATCCTGATGGGAAGGAGAAACGGAGGAGAAAGGATTATAGCATGACCGCACCCACTGAGGGTACTTTCTCTCTCCACCCCCATTCCTCAATGAGCTCACACACCCTCTGCCAATAAAGAAAAAGAGAAACTGGCAATCTAACAAATGAGTAAAATTTAAAAATTAAAAATAGTTGAGTACGTAGTGCTTTAACAAAAGAAATAATAACAGAGCACAAGGGAAACAAAAAAGAAAGTACTCAGACCCAAATATATCAAGGACTACATTACATGTAAATAAATAAATACTGTATTTCAGAGGCAAATATTTCAGACCAGAATTTAAAAAGTCAGAATCCAATTATAAGCTGTTTACAAGAGACATGCATCCCGTACAAAGGTAACAAGTCGTAAGTTAAAGAAGTGGGATGGCCTATCGCCATATCATCAGAGTGTTGTCTCGAACAATCTCAGTGACGCGCGCAGACAGCCAGTCCTCAGTCCTCACTGCTCACCACAGCCGTGTTCTACACCACCACTGCAAGCCTGAGGCATGCTCCCGGGGAAATGCAGAGCTAAAGTCTTGGAGTCTCTGGTGCCACCGATGCATCACCTTGTGTGCGTGTGCGTGTGTGTGTGTATTTTTACATTTTTGATTCTATTGTTTTCACTTGGTTCTTTTTAAATAACTGTTATATCTTTGCCGACATTCGTGTCTTTTTCTACTTGTCGTAATTACTCATCGGAGCAGTTCAATGACGGCTGCTCTGGAACTCCTGCCACGTAATTCCAGAATCGGACTCATCTCCATGTTGGTGTCAGTTGACTGTCTTTCCTCATCCAAGTAGTGATTTCCTGTTATTTTTAAATTTCTTTCTGAGAGTTTTTTACTATAGAGTGTGTGTGCTTGCCAGAGAGACAGAGAGACAGAAAGCGAGAAATCACCCCCCAGGGGGCATGGCCATGCCACAATCCCTTCTCCTCCATTCTCCTCTCAGGATCTTGGACATGCATGCACATGTGCCCTGCACGAGTTTTAAGCCACTGAGTCTGGGTCTCGAACTGCAGTCGACTACATGGGAGTCCAGCGATGTAGCCATTACGCCAACTGCTGGTCCCTATTTTTTAAATTTTTAAAGTTTATTTCTTTATTTATTCCATAAAAGAGATGAAGAGAGAATCAAGTCACCACCAACAGGGTCCCTCGGCCTCTGCCAACCCAGATCACCAGTGTGCATACCTGCCCCGAGTTCAGGGAGATGCAGGACACACCCCAGAACATTTCCCACCTGCACCCCACCTGCCCCTCCACCCAGCCCTCCACCTGCACCCCACCTGCCCTTCCTTGGCTTTTATTATGCTTGGCTCCCAGTCGAGTCCCAAACATATTGGTGGTTATGTTAGAAGTTCTGCGTCCTAGTAGCCTTCGAACTTTAGAAGAGAACAGCCTGCTTAGATTCACTGCACAGGTCCTGTCCTACTTCCGCGGGCGATGGTTCCAATGACACTGCAACGTTCAAAGTCACTGTAGTGGGGGCGTTAATTGTGGTTTTGGCATGAGCGGGTCAATTTTCTGATCTGGGGAGTTTGCCTGATGTATTCATTTCCATGGGGGCTTCCACTGATCCCTGATGGTGCTGTTGGGGACAGCAGGGCCTTCCGCAGGCTGGGACGCTGAGTCTCTCTCAAAGGAAGTGGGGAAAGGAGGCTCCAGCTCACAGGGACAAGGAGACTTCCCTGGTGGGGCCTGTTGTCGCCCTGGGGGTGGGCGTCAGTGGGCAGAACCCACTCTCCAATAGCCTATGACTACCCAGGTGTGTCCAGAAAGGGAAGGGAGTCAAAGGCCAGAGGGACAGAGGGCTCTCCCCTGGCCACTTACTGCTGCCACGTAGTCATCAAACGGACCTCATGAGGTGGTTACTACTCTGTGGTGGTTTTAAAACAATTAAAAGCAATTAAGTTGTAAAAACTCCATCTAACTAAGGTTAACGGGGAAAGAGCCTTCCGCTGGGTGATCCTAGTGGCTTGGCTGCATTCGATACCACAGTCTTAGGGTGTGTCCCGATCTGTGCCCTATGTGCCGTCTAGT